TGTGTAGTTTAATATATGTTTAATAGCGAGTAATTATTTTGTAGTATACAGAAAATAATACTCAAATAAGATTAAAATTATCCGAAATCATTATATACTCTAGTTGGATAATGCTCATCATGGTAGCACGTACAATTTCTAGTTGTATACTGTATACTGTATATTGGGCAATTTGCTGCTGCTGTCCATCATACTACGCCCTGGGTGAATTCCTCCATCCCTGAATGCATTCCAACTACCGGGGTAGTGTTTATTAGTGTACAGTTGTTGATACCTCAGAGATGTACATGTTTTAAACTCCAACAATCTAAATTTAACACTTTCATTCTGAGATACATGCCAGCACTAGTAAACTGACAGGCGTTCTTTAATCCATGTGGAGTACTGCACATTGATTCAGTGTTTCATGTTGACCATTTTTTTGTTCGTAGAATAATTTCTGCATTTGACATGCATATATTATTTTCACCGTCATCGTGATAGTAGGAACTGTTGCAATAAAAAAAAAACATATAACTTTCACCGCAATATAGCTCCTGATTCTTAATAATGATATTTTAATATTTGTATGATTTTGACAGCAACAGTGAATATCTTTAGTTTTATTGGGCAGTTTTTCATCTATTTTCCTCGTTTGTTGTAAAAAATTTATATTCAATGTACATATTTTGTTGATTGAAAAAGAAATCCTGCTGGCTTTATTGCATTGTACCTATATCATTATTACAGTTATTACAGTTATTCAGCTGACTAGATGATTTATGACTTATGTGGTAGTTATAACAATATTTGCTCAGGCAGATTGCTTTAATAATCACTCTCTGCAACTGTAAGGAAATGTATTATTTCCATCTCTGTACGTGATACTATGCACCACTGAGGGCAGTAGAACAGTATGAATAATAACACTTGTGGTGTTGCACTCATTCATGATGCTTTATTGGCGTCTTGGGACTATGTGACATACATTTGATGATATATTTGATGAATAAATGACAGGGAATATTCGTGTTCCTTGGTAAAAGACAACAGGGAGTCAACCACATGCTTTGGAACACTATTTAAAGGGACATGGTTGTCGCACTGTACATGCATGAGATATGGGTCTCATACAAACAAAGATGGCAACATTGACTGTTGCACAGACCAACAAGTACATTCTGATGCGTTATTAAGCTTTTAAACTACGTAATTTCTTTAGTGATTTGAAGATATTGAATATGTCACCGGCAATAATTTATAGGGCATGTCCAGGCTATTATGAATTTGCCTATGTCTCTTCTGAAACTCAGTTGTAAACACATCACTTGCACAGACAGCCAAATGACTGGTACATGTATGTAATTATTGTATCAGCAGGCACTGTATTGAACAGAAGCCTTGCAACTCTGAAGAACCTAGATTTGACAAATTGATCAAGAAGATGTCTGTAAAATATGATTGGTTAAACATAGATAATGAATGATGTATCTGTTGTATCTTTCAGTGCACTAAATAATCTCCAACAGAAGTATGACCAAATGCAACAAGTTGTTGAACACCAACAGAACATAATAGCTGCCTGTATACCAAATGGGCGAGGTAGGCTGACTAGTTCAAGTAAGTTGTTGCATGAATTGTCATCACGTTTACAATACTGTTATTATTCTGGTAAATTGATGCCTTACTTTATCCAACTTTGAAGGTCCTGAAGACATTTTTTATATCTAACGTGTGTATTACTGCATATCAGTATTGTGAATGTTTGTTCTATCCGGTGAAATCTTTCCACACTGTATTGATAGTGGGTTTTGTTTCTTGCTTGATTCTGACAAGAGAATGCTTTGCACTTTATATTTTCACCATCGAAAAAAAGGTTTGGGGTTTGATAACTTGAGGGAAACCATGGGAACTGAATTTCAGTAAAGTCGAACAATATTTCGTGCGTAAATTTGTTTGCATGCTGAAGTAAAAAGCTGTTACTCACATTACCCACACTGGAAATGTAGTATTGTTGTTTACCTATCCTCTCTGAATGAGATGATCCAATCAGTACCTTTCTCTGCATGTGTATTAATGTTGATGGTCTGAGATAGATTGCATTTACCAGTACTATCCTTTGTACATAAAATGCATGTTTCTGTACTTTTATATATTATCGTATGTGTAGTGTCTTCCTAATACAATTCTATGGGTGGGGTGGGTGTTTTTTTTTGTTTTTTTCCAACTCACAGTATCAACGTTTCTTCAAGGTAATTGCAATGGCAAATCTAAATCTATAACAACAGCTGGCAGCCAAGAAGGCATTGCAAAGACAGAAAAATGGATGATGCCGTTTGAATTCAAGTGCATCGGAACTCTCAGGTATTTTAACATATGAATGAGTGTGACAGAAAGTTGGAGTCAGTGTGAAGGCACTTACAAGATTGTGCTTGTTTGGCTACCAAACCCTAACAAACAACAGTTAGACCAATCAGAGAGCATTTTTTTGTCGGCGTATCAAATATCAAGTCTTGTACATGTATACCAGGTATATTGCTTTGACTCAACTCAAAAGTTGCTTGTGATTCACCACAGACTGTGTCAACTATATCGCCTATGGTTTTACATTTTGTTAATCTACTGTATAAAAATACTTTATTTTCGCTGGAATTAATTTCGCTGAAATGACTTTTTATGTATGTTATATGGAATTTATTTCCCCTGATGTCTGACGAGTTGAATGCAAAAGATAGGAAAAAATTTATAATCGTTGGATTTTATTTTCACTGAATCATTCCTTCAGCAAAAATAGCGAAATTAATTCCAAGCGAAAATAAAGTATTCCACAGTAAATTGCATTGTACCCTATACTATCACATTTAATACAATACATTATTATACATCTGTCACCGTAACGCCATAGGTTACAGAGTGTCCTAATTTTGCGGTATTTTACGGGGTCTTTTCATCCTACCATATAAGGGAATGCGTATTCCAAATATGGAACGATTATGCACCTAAGCGTCCTCTAATAATAAAAATAAACATGGCTGCCACCAGGGTTTGACCGGACCCCGTACAAAGAAGTTCGCTGATTATGTTCTAAACTTTTTACATTTCGGCATTCCCATGATGTATCCTTGGTAAGAAAAGATGTATAATAATAATGTTATTACGAAGATACCTCAAAATATGCACTCAGACAGTACACTTTCGCATTGACCTCCGCTGCGCGTCAGTCGATACTGCCGCTGTACTGACTTTGTGCATACTTTGAGGTATCTTCGTAATAACCTTATAGTATGAGTGTAATTTAAAATGAATATCATAGTCACGAATAATTTCAGTTTATTTTCATAATACACATCTACTGAACTTAACAAATATGTGATATATTTAGACAGATTAATCCACATAATATACTGTAAAATACTTTATTTTAGCTGGAATTAATTTTCGCTGAAAAAGACCTTTTGGGTGTTTTGTGTTGAATTTATTTTCACTGATTTTTGACAAATTTAATGTAAAATATAGGAAATATATTCGCTGGATTTTATTTTTACTGAATCATTCATTCAGCGAAAATAGCACAAATAAATTCCAAGCGAAAATAAAGTATTCTACAGTAGATATATGGTGGTTTTGAAAGAAAACTAAGCTAGGTAAAGCAAACTAAAAGCTAGATAAATGTCAAGCCAAGCTCAGACTATGCTGTGATTTATATGAAGAATGCTTTAATTTTTTTGGTCTATCCAATTGATGTGACAAGCAAATAGGAATAAAACTGCAGAATTGCTGTGATATTAATAACTCAGGTATAATAAAACTTGATGGTGCAATAACATCTATTTTGTTATACTCTGGCGGTTATTCTGTTTCAGAATGTTCGTAAATGTCTCCGGGGGCTGCCCGTTATTACAGATATTCTTGAATTCATCACCCAATTCAGAAGCCTGTGTATTGAATAATATATTATCATTAATCACTGTCAGAGGATTTTTTTTCTTCGTTATTGTTAAAATTCCAGAACATCGTTTATTTATATTTATAAATATAAAAGCATCCTATTTATAAAACGAATGTAGGTATTTTAAAAATTTGTGTTAGGATAATGAATAACTCCGTTGAAAGAGTGTATTCAAATATTTAAATGCCAGACTGTTATTATTCCTTGTTTCGCGAACCCGATGAATGAACAGGAGCCACATTGAAATAAAAATAAAATTTCATTTCAGCGTAATTTCTCGCGCCCGCCGACTTGTAAATGCAAAAAATTGGTAAATAAATATTATTTTTATCTGAATTTTTTTACCGCCCGCCGCATACCAAATCCAAGTTGCATTTTCGTGGGAGTATCATGATCAAAGTACTGAAGTCTCGCGCAGATGAGAAACAAGGTTATACATTCCTTCTCTCTGATCAATGATCTCACTAACAATTCTTTGAGAATCACACAAATCTAATGGAAAAAAAAAAAAATTTTATTTATAAAAACTTGAGAAACAAGGACTAAAAAAAGTCTGGCCTAACCATGTTCTGACATGTTTTTGTTATTTAAATTCCCGGCTATGCATATCAATCTCCTATCTATTGCTATCGAAGGACTTCATTTCAGTTGACATGTATTCTTGTTTTGGAATGTCTCAAATTGTGAAAATTATCACAGATAATATTTGCTAGTGTTTTAACATCTTTTTATGATTAAAAATATGTACTGTGATATACTTTATTTTAGCTGAAATTAATTTTCACTGAAAAGACTTTTTGGTTGTTTTGTATGGAATTTATTTTCACTGATTATTGACAACTTGAATGTAAAATATAGTATATTCGCTGGATTTAATTTTCACTGAATCATTCCTTCAGCGAATATAGCGAAAATTAATTCCAAGTATTTTACAGTATTCAGAGGTCACGATACAATTTTTTGAGCAGCGTATTCGTTGTCAAAGCGTCAAAGCTGCATTATGCAATTTTCTCAATGCAATTATTCATAGTCTTATGTGGTATATACTAATACATATTGGTTTTTATAACAAGATCATAGTACATGAATATTCACAGTAGTGACCTTTAGTGTGAAATATCACTAACTGATATTTTGGGATACTTTATTTTAGCTGGAATTAATTTTCGCTGATTTTTGATGAGTTGAATGTAAAATGTAAGAAAAAAGATATATTCGCTGGAGTTTATTATTTCACTGAATCATTCCTTCAGCGAAAATAGCAAAAATTAATTCCAAACAAAATTAAAGTATTTTACCTTACATAAACACAGATAAACAATCTGCAAGTTTCTGAACTGTAAGAAGAAATAACCAAATTTTGCGATGTCACACGCAACGTAATATTACCGTAATTGGTATAGTACAGGTGTGATGGTTCAAATACCAAAATGGCAACAGTAACAGAAAGACTTCCCTGGCGGCGATGATAAAATACAAACACGGAGCCAACAGATGAGGTTTTAACTGGTACTGGTATTATTATACTCCGCAAACATCAAGTACAATAACGCGGTAAAACTCCACTACTCCAATAACTAGATACTTAAACTCCAATACAATTCAACGAGATCTCCGATCTGAACTCAGTGCTGAACAACTCCCCTATATATACCCCCACTGTCTATAAATAGACCATTACATCAGCATACATAATGAGTCTGGAACTTACTACAAATTTCTAGAATGTTCCATTACCTTCTTTTGCTTCCTACAGTGTTATATTACCTATTCAACCATTTTCTAAAAATATAGAATATTCCACCCAGACACAGTACGGTTCTAGAACATTCTCAGTGACACGGAAGTGGTAAATAAGTCATATGCGACATGCGATGGTTTTTATCGCTGTGATACGAGTAATTCAGACAGGATAACCACAATTACAATGTATCTGTAATGATGACTGAAAGTTTATTTTTAAAAAGTATCACTAATAAGGGTAGTATTTCTGCCGATTTTGAAAACCATCCGTAATCGTAACTGCAAATACAAGTGCACTGAAGCTGGCTGAAGCTTGGAATCTTAGCATTTCTTAGCATGGGCTAAATATTCACGCATGTTTTCTTAGCACGGGCTAGCGTTTTTGATCTTTTAGCCTGTGCAAAGGTTCTGTGCACTAACGCAACTAAAGTGTCCTTTAAAAAACAATTCACCACAAATTTAGTAATGCTGTACATTGTATGTCAACAACTGTATTGATTCAGAAGTGTTAAACTACCGGTAATTCAAATTTATCTGTATTTTATATAGTTTCACTTAAAATTGTATTCGTTTTGTGGTTGCATTAACTCAAATAATTTGTATCTGATCATCTTCAAATTTGGGAATCTTATTAATCACCCAAGTTCAATTTTGGTATAACTAGCATGTACAATTTTCAAGACATAGGATAAGTGGACGGAATAAATACATGCTGAACTACTGATAATGAGAACCATATGGCAGTAATTGGCAGATATGTCGTTTTCATTTATGTTGAGTATAAATAAAAAAAGTGTAATTTTTTCCTGGCTTTATCAAATCTGGCTAGTATTTTATTTTGTTTACATTCCACTTTCTACGATTATTTGATAACTTTTATACAATTTATGTTAATTACTGGTATTCTATAAGGAACTTTGAGAATAATACAGTACATGTAGTATTATTTGAGGATTTTTTTTCTACGTTATTGCATTGTTTCAGGACTTTTATACTCTCTTTCATGCAATCATTCATTTGTTAATTAATCTAGATCCTCAATGGTCAAGGTTGTTATAGTTTCGCTATGTTTTTTTTACAGGGGTCACCAAGATATTGTATTATGCATGGTAACAAAAAATCACAAACTCTACAGTGCTGGCGCTGACGGTGTTATCAGAGCATGGGACATAGATGCATTGGCAAGAGGAACGGTTCAAACATTCAAAGGTCACACAGGATCTGTAAGTTCAACATGCTTTTCCATTTAGTAAATTCATTGGGCTGTTTTTGTTATACTGCCCTCTAGTGTCAGGTTTGATTTTATTTTTGTTTTTGATCTTTATGTTTTTGTATTACCGTAAACAATTTAACTTTAAAGTAAACTCAAATTAACTATGTATTATAAAAATTTGGACTTTACAGTACAGTCAGAGCATAACTTAACATTCAGCCAGTTTTCAAATCCACCGAGTTTCTAAATTATGCGAAGTATTGATGTCAAAGGTACTCGCTTTAAAAATTTTGAGTTTTTTTATATGAAAGGAAAGCCAGCTAGAGAGTTAAGTGACACTTGGATTGCACTACATAGTCATAGTGAATCGCAAATCAGTTGCACTTCTATTAAGCTTATAATCTTCTTATAATCAGCCTCTGTGATGACAGCAAGTCATACTAAAAGTGACTAAGACTGATTTCAAGTAAAATAGATGGTGTAAATGACTAATTTGTTTTTATTTGTATTTTCATCGCACAGATTATGCATGGTA